AGGATGGCACCAGGAACTGGCAAAAGTACATGAACTGAATCACATGTAAACTTCATTCGATACTCTTCTTGTCAATCAAAAAAAAAAAAGTCCTTTCACATTCAACTGCTTTTATTTCCAGCTAATTTCTTAACATGTGTAAATCTGTGTATGAACACAAAAAGGTTCAACAACTGAGACAAACTGAACCAGTTTCACAGATATTTGACGAACAGAAATGGAATAATGAGTCCCTGAACAAAAGGGAGGTTAATGTCAAAAGTGACAGCTGCTTTAAGCATCTCATCCGAACAGAACCATCAGCACTCTGGTAACAAGAGGTCCACAGCTTATACTAACCTCTGTTCAGTTCAGTCAAATCTACTTGCATTGCCTTGGCCGCTGAACGATCATCTGGACGCATTTGATGGTTCAATAGTTTGAAGGGAGTGGAAAGTTGTAATTTCGAGGTCCTGCCGGCACGGGGACTGGATGCCTCCCGTCTTCAGTCTTCTCCACACTAACAGCAACCAGAAGAGAGCAAGTGCTAGGGTCACTGATGTAAAGGCCTTTTCATTTCTGCAGAGGTCACACACCCTGAGTTTGGCTTGACAAATGCGAAAGGTGTCATTTCAGGTGGGAAGAAGTTTCTTTGTTTGGAAGCAGACACATTTGCATGATCAGAGTGGTAAGGTTATGGAGCTAATAATTCAATCATAAATCATGCATAAACTGTATACAATACAAAAGACAATACAAAACCCGTAATAATACACACAATGTCCTGGGGACATGTTCATTTATGGAGAGGTTTGTCTATGGATTTAATGGAGAGAAGTCCTTTTTGTGGCATTATGTGGCTATTTCAAAGGGAATGAAGTGCACAAATCCATCCTAAAAAGTGCTCCACACGGCTCCAGGGGTTAATAAAGACCTTCTGAAGCGAACTGATGCATTTGTGTAAGAAAAATATCCATATTTAAACATTTATAAACGGTAACCTCTAGCTTCCGCTAACAGTCATACGTAACTAAATCACAGTCCTTTTTAGCTTCTTTGATGCACAGCCAATTGTTTAAGCCTCACATTCCTTTTTTTTAGGACCGCGGCGCTCTACTGAGTCAGTGCTGGGAAAGCCCTAGGTAAAGTTTCCACTGAATCCTCAGGTTTCTCCACAACAGAACATTGCTCTCAGTGTTGCTTTTCAAACAAGACTTCTTTTATGACTTGTTCAGTGGCCTCTTTTGGCACAATATTTTGTCCACCATTAGAAAAAATATTTCTTTCCACAGCCCTCAAAAGCATCAGTGGAAGGAGAAAGAGAAATCAATATCAAAGCAACTCAGGTCGGTAGAGTAGCTAAAACATTCAATTCAAACCCAGAAAGGTCCCGGCTCAGTGGAAGCAAATAATCAACCAAAATTCAAGACCTTCACAACATCAGGGGCCTCGATTATAAAATGTGTGTCTGCACTGATCTGATCTTAGAGTGCGCATGCACTAAAAGCCCTCGCCATTCCTCCAGAAGACTCAATCTAGAGACACGGCACACGAGCAGAAGAAATCAACCTCCTCTCCCTTCAGCCGTGATGAACGATGCAGCACTGTGAGCTTTCGGCCCGAGCCGCAGTTAAACAATGCAATGAATTTATAACCAGTAACTGAACACAACAAGCCATCTGTGAGGCCTTCAGTTATTACACTCGAAGATATCAAAGTCTTGAAAAACAGCATGGAAGCCGTTCGCGGATGGTGTCGGTCTGACAGCGTTTCGCACCTGTTCTGGAAGGTGTTGAGTCCGGCCAGGACACACTGCACTCTCCAGTGTCCGCTCTGATCCGGGTACAGCACAAACTTGATGAGCACATCCAGCTTCAGCTGCTTCTCCAGCACAAACAGATGCTCTTTCCAGGGACAGCAGCTCCCCGCTGGGATCCACAAGACTCGACACCAGTCACAGCACTGGGCTGTTTTACTGTGAACTACAGCAGCCTGTGCAATGCATGCATGGGAAGCGGTCTTTATTTATTTTATTGACTTGTATTACTGAATAAAAAAGTCTGTATTATTTGACCACTCTTTTGAAGTCTTATTACTGTAATTCCACGTCTTCTGTCTCATCTAGTCTCTTTAGTGTACTTGTGTCTAAGCTGTTGCTTTGCTCAGAGCAGCAGATGAGCTGAATCAGGTGTGTTTGATTGAGGAGACGTGTGGCTGGGAACCAGTGGTTTAGAGGAGGCTTTAAATAAAGACCGCACTGAGAGCCTCTTACAGGGGAATCATTCACATCAGAGCCTCCAGACTGTAATGTTGAGATATGAATCACCTGATATCTGCTCTGAACCGCTTGCTGCATGATCTCTCTCGCCGGGAGCCAGGCCTTCATGTAGTAATGCAAGCGGTCCTTGAACTCAGCTCCTACAAGAGCCAGCGCTTTCTGGAAGTCCTCCTGTGATGGAAAAGTTTTCATATTCAAGCAGTATTCTTTATATGATTGAAGAAATGTATGATATTGACCGGAACTTTGCACTAAGCATCTGTTCCCATGCTACACAGCGTGGTAATGTATTCAGCTGTTGTGTACTGAACGTAACTCATCTGACAGAGGCTGCATTTACAGTACATGGTTTAAGAGACTCAATCCCTGCCGTGTGGCACAGATATAACCCAGGAACGTGAAGCAGGACAACCCCTGGACTCTGATGTTCTCCGATCGGTTTCAGGCCTCATGTGTGGAAATAAATCGGACATGAGTCAGGTGCATGTAAGTGGACAGACGGGATACTCTCCTGTCAATGAGTCGCACGTCACTGAAAAAATGAGCTGCGACTGACGGTGACTCAATTCTGGGCAGTGTTTTCCTGCAGAACTGAGCTACTTTTACACTGTTAAAGCGGCTAGTTTTGATTAGTAATTGGGCTGGTTTTATTTACCCTGTTTCCGGCTCAGTATGTCTACCTTGAGTTGATTTGACAAGTGTATAATGTAAATGCAGATACTGTTTACGGGTCACTTTTAAAAGATGATGTAAGCTGGTTCCCAAAAACATCAGATATAGTCAACAAATCAGAACTGGCAATCAAGACCTGCAGTGTAAAAACATCATTATCAATTAGACTGTTTGTGTTTAGACCAATTACATATAAAATACATGATCGATTATGAGTTTGACTCATCCCTAGAAAAATGGTCTAAAGGCTGAAATATTTATACAATTTGGTTTTGTCTTCACAGGATGTTCTGATAGACCGTGATGTTGTTTCAAATCAACACTGCTGCCTAAACAACACACAGTTTTATTCTAATATCTAAACCTGCTGATCATAAAGAGTCTTGCAGGAGAGTTGATCTGCTCGTCAGCGACAGTGTAAAGTGTGAGAAGCGCTGGTCAGAGCTGTTCCAGCGAGTAACGCACCTCTCCATCACACTGACTGATCCCGTCATGCACCAAGCTCTCGTACATCTGGAGCACCTGCTGATCATAAAGAGTCTTGCAGGAGAGTTGATCTGCTCGTCAGTGACTCTAGTGTAAAGTGTGAGAAGCGCTGGTCAGAGCTGTTCCAGCGAGTAACGCACCTCTCCATCACACTGACTGATCCCGTCATGCACCAAGCTCTCGTACATCTGGAGCAGAGAGGAGTCAGACACGGTCTGTGTGCTGCTCAAAGCCTTGAGACTGAACTGACCTGGTCATACAGGAGCCGCAGCTGCGGCTCGTGCTGCTCCAGAACACCTAGATCAGACCCGCCGAGCTCAGCTTCTTCACCCAGCGCTTCTCTGGACACAAGCTCTGGAAGCATCACACACTGATGAGAAAATCACTGCAATGCTCTGACAACCTCTCGCTTTCCTCCCCAAATCAACGGGGATTATTTTGATTCACGCAACATACATGTGTTACATAATGCAGACTTACATACATCACTACAGTAATATTCAACACATCCGTAATATTGCTGCCGAAAGACTCATATGTGCTTTTGGTGTTAATCATGGTCAGCTGATAGTAATTTATTAATACTTTCATGTTTTTAAATTTCCTTTTAATGTTTGATGTTTCAGCAAGTTCACCGTAAGATATCGTTAAGTACTAAACCATAACCTATTGCATATCACTTCTGAATGAGTCTGTTGATCTGTTTATATTTACAATGAAATGAATGTGAGGTGATGAGATCTGTGAACAACTGTATCGAGTACTATTATCCGAAGTGTTATCCACCTCTGGTGATGGTCGTAGCGCTGGCGAGCGGAGCATACTCTCCTCCGACATCAACCACTACATCACACTGCGTGCGATCTCCGCGTCCTGACACACACACACACACACACACAACCGTGCACGTGCAGATGAGACTGTGTTTGTGATGAAGAGTCTGGTTCCTGTCGCGCACCTTGCACTCCGGAAGCTGCCGCAGCAGGAAACACGCCAGAACTTCATCGCAGTGAAACGTGCCGTTATGAGTCCCGATCCTCATCTTCATCAGAAACACGCTGCGGATCGCCTTCATGAACTCTTCCTCTTCCTCTGTCGGGTTTTCTGCGTTATCGTCAGCAGGCGACGCGTCAGATCTCACCTCAGTGTGTCATATGAACATCATCTGATTCTGCGCCATTAAGGAGATATTTTAATGTAAAACACGCCGAGCTGTGTGAATCTCAAGATTTGTTGGCAAAGTAATTGCATGGTCAGGTGTTTCAAGCTTCTCTTCATGTTTTATTCAAACTGCCTGTGCAGCAGTTCTACTGTTACACCACTGGAGCAAGTCCACTGCTGGTCAAATCTGACTCCTGCATGATTCTCATGGCTACAGGAACCAAGATCTATCTCCGCTTCATCAATTATTAACTTCAATCAGTACACTTTTACTGCTTACGTTAGTAAAAAGCAATGTACAAAGAAACGGGTGTTGTTTCAGAATCCTCCTCAGTTAAAACTAAATGTATCCAGGCATCATTTTTTTAAACTTTTTAATTGAATTTTTTTTCTAAATCAACAAAATGAAGAGAGGAAAGAGCACTTTTCTCTTCAAAGTAAGTTTAATGCACAAAGGAAGTGAGCTTGTTTAATTACAAAGGTCCGTTCTCAAATAGAAGCAAACGTCTGACATTACATAATGAAGACGAGCGGATCTCCTGACAAGGACAGCTCATTATTTAAAGATCTTTAATTGATTAGAAAAGCATTCAGACTCACAGAAACACATTTAATTAAGTGCTATACATCACTGCATTAGTTGATCATGTTATTGCTGCGGGGCTCTGCCCTGACACTTGTGAAATCAGAGGAATCGGTTCAGGAGCTGCTCTTCAGTCAGTCACTGCTGCTGCTGCTGCTGCTGCTCGAGGAATGCTGCAAAACCACAAGAGACACAGCATTCAGACACTGAACCATTCAACACATGAGCTTCAACAGCCTGACCTGTGTGAGGCATGAGGGAGCTGCGTGATGCTTGATGCTGCCTCTTACCTTGCCGTGCTTCATGTGTTTATATTCCTTGTGAGCTTTATGCCCTTTCTTCATCTTCTTCATCTTCTTGTGTTTCTTGTGTCCAGGTGCGCCGATGATTGCGGCCGGGGGACCCCCATACTGCGGCACGGGGCAGGGGTGTCCTGCTGCAGGGAACGGCGCGTGCGGCGCGGTCACAGCCGGGGGAAAGGGGTGCTGGTATGGTGTGCTGTAAGGCATGGCTGAGGGCTGGTTCATGCCGGGAGGATAGACGGGGTTGGGTCCGGGTGGGTAGGATGGGATAGGCATGGCTGGATATGCTGGGTTTGGAGGTGCAGGAAAGGCAGGATTGGGCGGCTGAACGGCTGGAGGTCCTGCGTATGGTGGTCCTAGGAGACGAAAAACAACAATACATGAATGCACAGAAGGGTTTAGAAAAAAACTCATCTACAACAGGAAAATCCCCTTCATGCTCTTCCAACCCAGACTGTGCTGAAACAGGTTTGTTCATAAAATGACAACAGATGATTGTAAATGGCAGAATCCAAAACAGCATCATCATAACGGGCCATGCTGTATGACACTGCATTCGAAATCACCGTCCGCTTTCATGCCATTCTACTTACAATTCAGTGTTTCACTGAAGAAAGGGAATACTGTACAGTCACAGCAGGTTGAACAGCACGAGGGTGAGTAAAGGACACAACAAAAATTACATTTTCAGTTTTTGCCTGAACCTTCTTCTTTAAAGGGTTAGTTCACCCAAAAATTTACGTTCTGTCATTAATTACTGAAATTGGATTTATGAAGGGTCAGAAAGCTCCGGGATTTCATCAAAAATATCTAATATAAAAAGTATTGAGCCTTTTAAGATTGTCATTTATTTAGGTCAGATGTGTCCAGTGCTGCTCCTGGAGGAAAACGTCCACCAGAGTTCAGCTCCAACCCTAACCCCAATCACACTCACACTCACACTCACCCGCACACACACACACACACATACTCTCTCTCACTCACACTCTCGCACACACACACACACACTCTCTCTCACTCACACACACTCACACACACATGCATGCACACTCACGCACACCACCAGGGTTCCCACTCTCATGAACACCAGATTCAAGGACTTTTTAAAGCACCATTTATTTTATATCAAGCACCTATCAAATTCACACCCCAGCATATGTAGCATCATGAAAACCTCTTACAGTACTTAAAGCTGCAGTCCGTAACTTTTTTTGGTTAAAAATTATCCAAAATCAATATTTGAGCAAGTACATAACCAGCCAGTGTTCAAAACTATCTCCTTACTTTAGCCCGATTCACATCGGTTGGCTTATAATAATGTTTTCTAATTTGAGTGGTACGGGTAGGTTATCGCTGGAAATTTGAGCATGCCGCTGCGTCATTTCGTCACATCTGTAAACATAAAGAAGTTGTCCCGGCTACTAGGCTATCGCATGTGAGGATCCTGCAGGTGGCCGATCGTTTATAGCCTTTTCTCACAGCAGCTAGAATAATTCATTTTATCATTTTGATGGCGTATTGTAATCCAGAAAGGATTATGTGTTTATGAAACACATGTGAATGAAATTAAATTATATTCCAGTTTTAAATGTGCTTCTGATTACAGATAGCCTGGGATTACACAAGATTTGTATTTTAAAAACAATCAGTTCGAAGGGAGCATAATTAGCTTTTTGGGTTAAAAGAATTTCTTGGTATGAAATTTGAATGGCATGACAATTAGAGATTAGACTGTGCAGAAACTGAAATCTACTCACTTATACACACTATACTCGTAGTCAAGATATATAGGGGAGCGCGATGCACAAAGTAACTGGGGGTTAGTTGTATCACACGTGGTTTGAATATTTATTTTACCATAGTAAAATAAAAATTCTGGCTTAAGTCAATTTTTTTATCTCAGTTTTTATTATTCATTTAAAATGAGACAAATCTGCTATTATTTTAATCTCCAATCTGTTATTTATCAGTTCAGATCGTTTTTTAATGATTTGATTACTAGCAGAAGACACTAACCAGTTTTAAATTCCACTTGTCCAGATGGGGCACGTTGTAACACCGCGTTACAATGTGCTATTCTATGACATTAGCGATGTAATTTACACTATTTACTTTAATTAATTTTAATGAGTGCACTCAAACACACACACACACACACTCACTCGTACTCGCACACTAATGCACT